CATATTCAATTGATGAGAAAATTAATCAATATATTTTCAACAATAACTTTTGAATAAGACCACACAATGATAACCGACTTCTAATGAAATATTAAGTTAAACCAAAAACTGACTTAAACAATTTGTCGAACACTTAGTATGGAATAAATCCGATTCAGATTTTTCTTCGATTTTGTTGATATGAAAAACTAATTGCAATCTTATAACTATAATCAACTAAAAAATAGTTTACAATATCATTAATCAAAGAGATTGTCTCAATGTATTAAATGCACAAACGATGAATTCGCAATTTTCAAGGAAAGTAAAAGAGAAAGAGAAGTCCTCGGTTGTGTTCAGTCAGTCTGATTGATTATGCAATTAAATCTAAGGAAGCTTGTTTGTTGTTCAAAGTCGACTTTGAAAAGGTGTATGATAGGTTGAGTTGGGGCTTTCTAAGATTTATGATGAAGAGAATGGGATTTAGTGATAGATGGATGAGATGGATGGAGGCTACTCTTTTTTTGTGTCATTTGTTGGTTTTGGTGAATGGCAGGTCAACCAAAGATTTTGAGGCGGGAAGGGGCTTAAGGCAGGGAGACCCTTTACCTCCTTTCCATTGTGTGACGTCAGATTAAGGTTTAGCTGGGTTAACGAGAAAGGCAGTGGACATTGGTGAGTTCTCTAGGTTTCAAATACAAAATTCTTACAAAGTTGAGATCCCGCAATTTGCCGACGATACTCTCATTGTTGGAGAGGAAATTTGGAATAATGTCTAGGCGATCAAGTCTATTTAAGAGGTTTCGAAATTATGTCAGGATTTAGGGTTAACTTTCTCAAAAGTAGAGTTGTCAGAATAAATACCAGTCCTCATTTTCTTCCCGCGACTGAATTCTTTTTGTCGTACAGAATGGAGGATAAAGCTTTCTCGTTCCTTGGTATTCCGATAGGATCCAATCCAAGAAGAATAAATATGTGGAATTCATTATTGAGTAAAATAAGAGGGAGATTGAGTCTTTGGAAAGGTAGGTTACTGTCTTTTAGAGGGAAAATCACCCTTTTAATGTCTGTGTTGAGCAGTCTGCCCATTTTCTCCTTTCTTTCTATAAAGCTCCTGTGAAGATATGGAGGGAGATCAAAAAGATTCAAGCTAGATTTTTATGGGGGGGTACGGAAGAGAAGATGACAATTTACTGGGTGGGGTAGAGTCAGATTTGTAAATTGTTGCGTCTAGGAGGTCTCGGAGTGGAAAGTATCAACGAATTCAATTTAGCTTTATTAACTAAGCGAAAGTGGAGAATTATCGAAGATAAAGAATCGTTGTGGGTGGATGTGTTGAAAGCTAGATACGAAAATTTATCTCATTCAATTTTATTAGGAAAAAATCTCTCTTGCAAGAATATTGCATCAAATTAGTGGAAAGATTTATTGGATATTGGAAAGAGTTTTTTGGGGTCAACTTGCCATTTTTCTGATTTGATCAATTTCAAACTAGGCATCGGTAAGAGAGTTCCTTTTTGGTCGGCTTCATGGATTCATAGTTCTCCCCTCTATGTTATCTTTCGGGAATTATTCAATAAGAGTAGTAGAAAGGAGGTCATGATGGAAGACATGGGATCGTGGAATAATGGAGTATGAAGATGGGGTGATTTCAGTATAACATGTTTGTTGGAGGAGTATGTGCAGAACAGTCTGCAGCAATTGGATGCCTTGATTTAATTTTCAATTCCTGTCCGTGATGTGAGCGACTGCCCTGAGTGGTATCAGGAGCCTTTTGAGTTATTTTGTTAGTTCGGGATATGTTAATCTTTTTCCTGAGCATCATGTTGCAAATACTAACCTTGTTCCTCCGAGCAAAGATTTTGTTAATATGTGGAATTTAAAAGTTCCTTATAAAGTGAAATTTTTTGATTGGAGGAGTTTTCTTAATCATCTTCCGAGTAAGGATCAAATTTCTAAGAGAGAAATTTTCTATGCTTCTTTCGATGTAAATTGTGTTTTTTGTTCACAGGAACCTAAGAGTTTGGATCACTTGTTTATTAATCGCAAGGTAGCTAAAGTTATATGGCAGAATATGGCAGAGTTGTTCGGAATTCGTATTTCGAAAGAAGGTTGTGTTTGGAAGAATTTCTCTAATTAGTTATAGCTTGATATTTGGAAAAAAGCTTATAAAAGGAAAGGAAGGTATTGTTTGGATGTCGATTTTATAGAATATTTGAAAATTGAGGAACGAAATCATCTTTAATAATGCAGTTTGCAACATTTTGAATTTAAGTTGGAACATAAAGTTATATGCTTGGAGATGGTTGGTAACCGGAAATATTTCTCATTCCAATTTTGTAATTTTTATGAGTTTTGTAAGAATCCTTTTACTAACTCGGTGTAAGTTTTAGTTGGTGAATTTTTTTCTACCGGTTTATTTTCCGATTCTCTTGTATTCGTGATTGAGTATCACTACAAGAAAAAACAAAATCAGTCAGGGGATAATCCCCTCACAAATGAAAAAATTGCGAGAGGACTGGTCCCCTAGCAAAACAGAGGGTCGCAAATTTATTTGCGAGGGGCTTTCCACGTCGCAATTTTGCTTGGGGCTATCCCCCTCGCAAAATACAATCAAAATTTTCAGACATTTTGCTTGGGGCTAACCCCCTCGCAAAATACAAGTGTTTTCCATTAGCTAGGGGTTAAGCCCCTGGCAAAATGTAAAAAAAATTATAAATAAAAATAAAAATATTAATAGAATAAAAATATATTAACATTAACAGAAAAAAAATAATATTATAACTATAATTAATATAATTAAAACTATTTCATTATATTATTTTTCTAAAATATCAATAATGTTTTCATGATAATATATTTATTGCCTTACTATTTTTTAAAGTGTTATAACTAAAAAAATCATTTTACATACTACTGTTTTTTATAAATATTTTTAACTAGTTTCTAGCATACTTATCATTATAAATAAATAATTTTTAATCAACAAATATTTATGTAAACATCACTCATAATCATTATAATAACAAATAATAACAAACATCACCTATTTAACAACACTCATTTACAACTATAATAACAAACAACACTCATTTACAACTATATAAGTAGATTTAAGAAAAATTAAACAAAAAATATATACCTTTGATGAACACCCAATTTGGATTTAAATTCTTTGATTGTCTTCAATGATAAAAATATATCTAAAAACATAAAACGAAAACTAAACATTAGAAGAAAAAAACATAAATTAAATATTATATAAAATATAATTTAAAAGAACAATACCTTTAATAATTAATAAAAATGAGAGATGGACGCAGAAGAAGGTGAGAATATGAGAGAAAGAAAGAGAAGAAAGAAAGAGAGAAAAGAAAGAGAGAAAAGAAAGAAGAAGAAACACAAATGAATATGGGAAAGTAGGGATTTTTTTAAATAGGACAATTAGTGAGGGGATAGCCCTGGCAAAATGTTAGTTATATTTTGTGAGGGGGTAATCCCTCGCAAAATGTAGAGCCGTAAAATTTTCAAAATTCAAAAATCTCTCCTATTTTATTTGCAAGGGGTAGTCCATCCCCATTTAAATTTTTTTTTTTCCCGATTTTGTCATTTGCGAGGGAATTTACCCCAAACAATATTAAAATTTAATGAGAAATTTATCACCCCACTAAATCTCCTAGCTAATCAAGCATTTTCTTGTAGTGTATGCCTAATACTCACTTTTAATACAATTGTTGATTATAAAAAAAAAACACTAAATTTATACTTGTTGACCAATTTGTATAACATCTTAGTAGAGGGGTACCAAAATCCACAAATGCATTCACATAGCGTAGGTAATATGTGATGAAACTTAGACAACAAAAACAAATTAACCTATGACGAAAATATAGTACTCCTACACTGTTTAATGTAACAATATTTTATGTTGACGCAGATGCTTACAAAGCAATTCTAATAACAAGAACAATAATAATCCAGAAACACCTATATCTAGGGGAATCTGCTTTGAATGAGAGCTCTAAAAACAAAGAGCAAAATGCTCGATTATCAACGCAGTGCAGACCATATTAGTGACTATGTTGAGGAAAACAATGCAAAAACACATGGTGTGTATGAGCTAGTTTTAGTGTCAAACAAGGTATATACATGATTCAATGGTGCAGAAAAATATATAAGTTTATGGTAAATGAACAGAACCCCGAGGCAAAGGTGGTGGAGTGTGTTGGTTCTATCTCCAAAATGTGAGTATTAAAAGAAAGAAATATGTATTCTCATTTTTTCTTGCTTCGTAACAAAGCAAGTACTAAATGATCTCATGTCATGTCATGTGTCCTACTCTTTAAATTTGTATTGCATGTAAATTTATCTAACAAAAATGTATATGCATTACTGTCAACATATATTATGAGACTGTTAATACTGAAAAATATTAATTACTTACAATAGTACATTAATGTTTAGAATATTAATATTTTAAATATTAGTATTTAGAATATTTGAGTTATATAATGTGAGACTATTAATATTTAGAATATTTTTTAATTTTAAATTATTTGTCATATTAAAATGTTGAGAAAATATTAATTAGTGCAGCTTTACAGTAATACATTTAATTAATTATATTTCAAATAACTTATTAATGGGTTGTTCCACTTAAAATCAAATTTTTTTATTTTATAAATGATGCATAGCTCAAATGTCCCATTTTTTATAATAAGGGAGGAAGTACTTTTATGAAATTTCACAAATTTTTATAATAAGGGAGGGAGAACTTTTATTGAAAATTTGAAATGATAGGAGATAAATAAACATTTCAACAATGAATTTGAATATTTCAACTAGCAAGAGAGACAGAAGCAATATAATAGTCAGACTAGTTGAACAAAGTAGCTCAACATAGAGACACACAATGAAAAACCAATAGTTGATATATCCCTACAAACATGGTTGAGTTTTTCATGCAAAATTGCTAATGTCAATGCAAACCCAAACAACTCTTGAACAACCACCACCAAACAATGAACTCACAATCTCACTTCTTCAATCTTCTCCTCTTCACACTTCTTCTCCCATTTTCCCATTCTTCAACCAATGAACTCACTACCTTACTTTCATGGACACAACCCTCCACAAACCTCCCTACACCCCCTTTTTCCAACATAAACCCCCTAGACACAAATCCATGCAAATGGTCATTCATAACATGCTCTTCACAAAACCTTGTAACTGAAATCATCATCCAAAATGTCCAACTAGCCCTTCCTTTTCCTCCAAACATCTCTTCATTTTCCAATCTTCAAAAGTTAGTTATTTCAGGTACCAACCTCACTGGAACTATTCCATCTGAACTAGGTAACTGCCTTAACCTAATCACCATTGATCTTAGCTCAAATAGTCTTGTTGGTGAAATTCCTTCAACTATTGGAAACCTAAAAAATCTTCAAAACTTGATTCTTAATTCTAACCAATTAACTGGTTCTATACCATTTCACCTTGGTCATTGTGTTAATCTCAAAACCCTAGATATTTTCGATAACAACCTCACCGGAAACCTTCCAAATGAACTAGGAAATCTTACAAATCTTGAAGTTATAAGAGCTGGTGGAAACAAAGATATTGTAGGGAAGATTCCAGAAGAGTTAGGTGAATGCAAGAACTTAACTGTTTTAGGGCTTGCAGACACTAAAATTTCTGGTTCAATACCTAGGTCATTAGGTAAATTAACTAAGCTTCAAACTATATCTATTTATAGTACTTCGATATCGGGTGAAATTCCTCGAGAAATCGGTAACTGTTCTGAGCTTGTTAACTTGTTTTTGTATGAGAATGATCTTTCTGGTGAGATTCCTTTTGAATTAGGTAAGCTTCTGAAGCTTGAAAAGATTTTGTTATGGCAGAATAGTTTTGTTGGTGGAATACCTGATGAGATTGGAAACTGTAGTAGCTTGAAGATTCTTGATTTGTCTTTGAATTTTCTCTCCGGTGGAATGCCGGAGAGTTTAGGGAAGTTGTCGAATCTTGAAGAGCTTATGTTGAGTAATAACAACATTTCTGGTTCGATACCAGGTTCGATTTCGAATCTTACGAATTTGATTCAGTTGCAGTTGGATACAAATGAGATATCGGGTTTGATTCCGGTTGAGATTGGTAAGTTGACGAAGCTAACTGTTTTTTTCGCGTGGCAGAATAGACTTGAAGGTAGAATTCCGTCGGAGTTAGGAGATTGTTTAAGCCTGGAGGCTTTGGATTTGTCTTATAATGAACTCAGTGATAGTTTACCTTCAAATCTTTTTAAGCTTCGGAATTTAACCAAGCTTTTGTTGATTTCTAATGAGATCTCTGGCTCTATTCCTCCTGAGATTGGTAATTGTAGTTCTCTCATTCGACTCCGGCTCGTGGATAACAGAATCAATGGTGAGATACCGAGAGAGATAGGTTTTCTTAGTAACCTTAGTTTCCTTGATTTGTCTGGAAATCGTCTTAGTGGTTCGGTACCGATAGAGATTGGAAAATGTAGAGAGCTTCAAATGTTGAATCTAAGTAATAACTCGCTTTCGGGTGATTTGCATAGTTATTTGTCTTCTCTTACAATGCTAGAGGTTTTGGATGTTTCGATGAATAATATTTCTGGCGAGGTTCCAATGAGTATTGGGGAGTTAACTTCACTTCTTAGAGTTATTTTGAGCAAAAACTCTTTCTCTGGATCAATTCCTTCATCACTTGGGAAATGTTCAGGTATTCAACTTCTTGATCTTAGCAAAAACATGTTCTCGGGGAGCATACCGCGCGAGTTGTTTCAAATTGAAGCACTTGATATAGCTTTAAATTTGAGTCATAATGCTTTATCAGGAGTGATCCCGGTTGAGATATCGGCTCTTAACAAGTTGTCTGTTTTAGACATTTCGCATAACAATCTTGAAGGTGACTTGATGGTGTTTTCAGGCCTTGAAAATCTTGTTTCTTTGAACATTTCGTATAACAAGTTCACCGGTTATTTACCAGAAAGCAAGTTGTTTCATCAACTAGCAGCAACAGATTTGGATGGAAATCATGGTTTGTGTCCTAATGGACATGATTCATGTTTCATTGGAAGTTCTGCAATGACAAAGATGTTAAATGGCTCTAATTCTAAGAGGTCGGAGATGATTAAAGTTGCGATTGGATTGCTCAGTTCTTTGGCCGTTGGAATGGCAATCTTTGGAGTTGTTACTGTCTTTCGAGCAAGGAGAATGGTTCGAGACGACACAGATTCCGAGATGGGAGGAGGAGGAGGAGGTGATTCATGGCCTTGGCAGTTCACACCATTCCAAAAGGTAAACTTTCGTGTGGACCAAATTCTAAAATGTTTAGTGGAATCCAATGTAATTGGAAAAGGGTGTTCAGGGATCGTTTATCGCGCGGAAATGGAAAACGGCGATGTCATTGCTGTCAAAAGGCTCTGGCCAACAACAACGGCAGCCACTGCTTCCGCAAGATATGATCATAGTCAAAGTGACAAGTTAGCTGTTAACGGAGGAATTCGCGATTCGTTTTCCGCCGAGGTTAAAACTCTTGGTTCGATTCGCCACAAGAACATTGTGAGGTTCTTAGGATGCTGTTGGAATAGAAACACAAGGTTGCTTATGTATGATTACATGCCAAATGGGAGTCTTGGAGGCTTACTTCATGAAACAAGTGGTAATTGCTTGGAGTGGCACATTAGATTCAAGATAATACTAGGAGCTGCTCAAGGTTTGGCTTATTTACACCATGATTGTGCTCCTCCCATTGTTCACAGAGACATTAAGGCCAACAACATCCTCATAGGACTTGAATTTGAACCTTACATAGCTGATTTCGGACTTGCAAAACTCGTCGATGATGGAGATTTCGCAAGATCTTCTAGCACACTTGCCGGTTCTTATGGTTACATAGCTCCTGGTTAGTATTACTCTTCCAAAACCATCAATTTTTTAGTAGTAACTTCCATCAAATATATCAAAATGTTACTAACATCTTTCCATTCACTACTGTTTTTTCTGCATATTTCGATTCCAAGAGTACGGATACATGATGAAGATAACAGAGAAAAGTGATGTATACAGCTACGGCATAGTTGTATTAGAAGTACTAACAGGCAAACAACCGATCGATCCAACAATACCAGACGGACTTCACATTGTCGATTGGGTTAGACAGAAAAGAGGACGAGTTGAAGTGCTCGACGAAAGCTTAACAACAAGGCCAGAATCCGAAATAGAAGAGATGTTGCAGACTCTAGGTGTTGCTTTGCTATGCGTAACCTCGAATCCAGACGACAGACCAACGATGAAAGACGTGGTAGCCATGATGAAAGAGATTAAACAAGAGAGAGATGAATGTGTGAAAGTTTTTGATCAACATGAGAGTAATCATTCTAATCAAGACTCAGTGCAAGGGATGAAACATTCAGGTTCAGCAACAAGTAGCAGTAACATGAATATGAATTTACATTACTCTCCTCATATTTCTACAACACTAGATTAAGAAAGTTTGAAATGCTCAATAATAGTTATGTGACTAGGAAACTAGTTTTTTCTTAGCAAGAGTGTGGTTTGCTTTTATTTTATTTTAGTTACTACTTCAGCTTCATAATTATGGTTTGATTGTGTATAAAGATCTTTAACCTTATCAAGGTTAGGTAAAATAGTAAGCATGACATTGATAAAGGCATCAAGTAAATTAAGAATAATCTTCTCACTTAGTCAATTATCAATAAAATTCTTATTACTGTTTTAAATAAAGTCAAAATAATAAACCACTTGATTTTCAATAGCCACAGCATCAATTAGAAGATCATTACCATTTTTCAAAGCAAAATCCTCTTAGTAACATTTCTACTTTTTAAAATTTTAAGAAAATAGGAAGTGTTCATATCCATTAAATATGCCTGTTTACCTTAGATTTTTCTTGGCAAAACTCTTATTTAAATTTCAAAGTCTTATTAAATTTTACGAGTTTAAATGCAATTTTGATTCTCCTATTTATTTATTTTTAATTTTTTGTACTGTTTAAAAAAATGAGTTTTTTTGGTCTTTAAAGTTCACATTACTTGTTTTTTTGGGTCTCCTTTGACAAAACAATATTTAAATGACGTGACAGACATTAAATACACCTACTAATTTTTTTGCCATATCATTATATTAAAGTAATAATTTTTTATTTATATTTTTAATAATTGAAAAAATATTTAAATTAATTAATTTATTAAAATTAAATGATATAAAATGAAATTTTCATATTCTTCTCACATTTGCCTTAACTCTCTTCCATTGCTCTTCAGAGTTTCACGAATCTTCCACAGTTTCTCAGAGGTAAACGGAACGCTTCTTCCATTATTTCTCATTTCTTCCATCTTTATCTATTTCGTTTTTCAGTCTATTAAGTATTCATCTTCTTCGACTTGTTTGTAGTGACGTTTCTTTCATTTCTGCAATCATGGACAACAAACAAAATTTATGGAAAAGAGACGAAGAGGTTAAGTTTGATGTCATGTATGTTTATGATTCCTTTCTATTTTAGATACATAATGTTAGACTACGACGACTTATCTAGATGGGGGTGAATAGATCTCCAAATTAAAAATTATCTTTCAAGAATTGTTATTTAACAACTTATTTGAAAAACAATATTGAGCGAAAGGTTTTTAGCCTAGATCAAAATAGTAGTCTAAACAAACCTAGTTATTGGAAACTCGGATATGCACAAGCCATATGAAATTAAGATAATGGTAAATCGATCAACATAATAATATCTCAATTAATAGTTTAATATCAAACACAACGGTTTCCTATTTCTAATAAAATCATGTTAAAAACATAACTAAACAATTTTTCGAACATGTGGCGCACAATCAAATTTTTAGAATTTTCTTTGAGCTTTGTTGATATGAAAAAGCACTTAGAATTAAAGTGATTATAAGCTAATCAACAAAGCAATTTAAACTTTAACAATCAAAGAGAAATTCTATACGAATCAATCGATCAAACAACACATTCAACAAATTGCATATATAGAGTAAATGAGAGTAAGAGATAAAACATTGCAATTTGTCAAACACTTGGTATGCGTTCGACTTTTCAAAAAGTTTCTTTGAGTTGTGTTGATATGAAAACCACTTATAATCAAAGTGATTATAAGCTAATTGTTGTACCCCAAAATTTTCCCTCTCATTTATCAAACATTTTCTCACAAAATCCCCTTTGGTTCAAGACTGCACAAGAATTGATCAGCTCAAGACACCTACTTAAGCACTGATGACTGAAATTAGGGTTTGAGATTGCACAAGGATAATTGAATTTTTAATGCCTCATATTAATTTCATGGATCATTATGGAACTCCAAGATTGCTCATGTCAAGTTTCAAGTTTTGGATCATATTTTTGCTTATCCAATTGATCAGTTGACCTAAAAATCAGTTGTATTATGGAAAAAGTCAATTGTGGCCAATTTACAATCAAACTTCATAATTTTTTATCTATATCAATATTATGAACTCATATATGTCATTTGATCAAGTTTGGACCATAATTCCTCAAGAAATTTGATCAGATCATCAAAAGGGCAAAATGGTCAAAATTAGGGTTTTGACTGAGAAAAGGCAATTTCTGATTTTTGACCTAACAAATGGTTAATTGGTTTGAGACATGATATCAAGAGTTAAATTTCATCATTTTTACCTAATGGCATGACTCAAAACATTGCTCAAGGTCATTTGATTGATAGTTGATTTTTCAGTCAACTGATCAAAAGTCTAATGTACACTAAAAAGTCAAACTTTGACTTTTCGGTCAAAATCAAGTGTCAAAGATCACAATTCATCAAAACATGTTAAAATATGAAACTTGTTCATCAAGAAATCAAAAATTCAAGATTTCATTTTGAAAAGTCAAAGTTTCCAAACTTAGAAATTTTTCTAAGTGTTGAAAACTACATATCTTTTCACAACTTTGAGCCAATTTTTCACCATGATGCAAGATGATTCAAAGAAAACTTTCAACATGAAAGTTGTAGATCTCAATGATATCTAAAACTTTTATTTACACAACTCCTCCTAGAAATTCTTGGATCTCAAGTTATTAATCCATGAAGTCATGGTCATGAAACTAAAACACTTAGTGAAATTTTGAGCATTTTTTATCAGGATTTTGACCTAACTTCTGGGCCAAGTTTCATATAGTTCCATTTGGATTTTGCAAAAGTGATTCAAAGAGGGGTTGTATAGAACATTACAAGCTTTCCAAAATGTCCAAGAACTCCTTGAGATCATTTGTGAGCAAGGAGAATCGAAGGCCAGAAGTTAGGGTTTAAAGTTGTTTTGCAAGGCAAAATTTGTGATGCAACATGAACCAAATCCATAACCATGCTGCATAATCTTCACTTTGCAGACCTCAAACTTGTTTGTCACTACTTAATTTAATGTTTACGCAACTGATTGATCAATTATCCAATTGATTCAAGCATTGTCCAAAGCATTTTACCATCTTAAGGAGAAAGTCACCATTTTCATTCTTGTAAAGCAAGCTTTATGCACAAAGTCAGCTTCTTGAGCTTCTAACTTGTTCTCTTCAAGTACACTCCATCCATAAAGTCAGAAGCAAGCTTGTTAAAAGTCCAACTGCTCTACAATAGCAAGTACAATGGAATGGAAACTTGTTTTGTCAAGAAAATCACATGTTGAGCTTAAACATGTAAATTCAAAATTTGACTTGTTGTAGCATACAAAACCTTTTGCTTATAAATAGAGACACTATTTGCAAGCTAGAACAAGAGCTTAAACACCCTGAAACACACCAAAACTCCCTTAAGCCATAATTTGCACAAGAAACTCCATTGATGCACAGTTCTGATCTTAAACTTATATCTCTCATTTCCCTCGTGCATTTTCCTTCCTAATCAATCACAAGGCTCCTACCCATCAAATATAACCTATCCTTGACCCTGTTTCATAAATGTAACATCTCCATCATCAAGTTCCATTTTCAAAAACAGAGCTCTACAAGTGGACTTCTACAGAACTCCTCAGCCACTTTCAGCTCAAGCCAAGCATCACATTAGCTTCCTGGGAACTTGAGGAAGCTAACCCAATTACTGGAACTCATCAAAAGCTGCTCAAACTCAAAACACTATACCCTCTTGCAAGGTGAGTTTTATGAGTTTTGAACTCTTCATATAGGCATCATTAATGTTTAATTTATGAATGAAAAATGTAGATATCATTGCCCTAAAGCTAACCATGTCCATAGTTTTCATTTATGTTGCTTGAGCTTAGAGAATTTTAAGATTGAAATTTCTGGAAAAGTTAAGGTTCAGATTAGGGCCACTAAAATTCATGTTTGTATTTGATCTATAGTTTTAATGCTTTACGTTTCTGAAATTGTGAGGAAATTTGCTACAAGATTCATGTTTACACTTTTGCAAATGGATGAGAAATGAACAAGATGCAGGTGGTCTGGCTAGGCGTGAGGTTGAAGATGAAGTTGTCTTTAGGAAGCAGTTTCTAATATATATTTATGGTTTGACATAAGTTAACAGATGTATAGTCACCCCAGTGGTAAGGCAGCGTGCTGGTAATCAAGAGGGCGTTGGTTCAACACCCAGCGCGCTGCCTTTTGTCATTTTTCATACTTTTTCCACATTTTTGTTTCTTTACAGCGCTTGGGCCCAGCTTTGGGCTTTTCTCCATTTTTGCTGCACCACACCCCCTGTTTTCTTGCTACCACACAGGTCTAAACCTTTTTTTTTTCTGATTTCTAAACAAGAATATCATTTGGGCCAAATTAAAAAAAATACTTTTCTAGCAAATCCCAAAATTAATTTCACACCTCCCTGACTTTTTCTTTATATTTTATTTTTATTTTATTTTCTTTATTATTTTTATTATTATTATTTTTATTATTATTATTATTTTTATTAATAAAAATCCAAAAAAATATTTTATTTATTATTTTTACATTTATTTAGTTTATTTTGTTTTATAAAATCAAAAGAACTAAAAAATTTCTTAATAAATTAATTTCTTTCTTAATAATTAATATTTAGGTTTAATTATTATATTATATTATTTTTTTCTTGTAAATTAAAATCAATTTAGAACTTAGGACTTTTATTTGATTAATTTTGTTTACTAATTTAATTAAATTCACAAAAAACCCTAAACAACTTGTTTTCTTTAATAAATTAATTTCTTGTATTAACTTAATTTTAATTTTCTTATTCTAGTCAATTATATTATTTTAATTTAATTAGGTCAAGACTTTTAATACAAAAAAATTCATTCCTTATCTATTCATACTTGTACATTATATTCATTTTATTTCTTGTACTTTTATTCGAATTCAATATGGTTGTAATAGATAATTAGGGTTTTAATTTCTTGCAATTCCCCATTTGTAAATTTGTACACCCCCTCCCCTATTTGATGTAATCGCTTAGTATTTTTATTTTTCGTAATTTAATGCTTTATATACAAATGCTAGTAATTAGGA